ATACACACTTTTTTAATTACATATTATTTAATAATTAAAATTTAACCTGTAGAGATAATACTCCGATAAATAAGCTTATTATAAGAAATAATAATTAATTAGAGCTAAGAGTGTGAAACCTTATATTTATTGAGAATCAAACCCAAATCTTCAAATAAAACGGAGGGGATAGTACGTAACGAAAGAGGTGGTAAACAGAGCAACGATGTGCAGAAGAATTATGCAGGCAAAGCAACAATGGCGTAAAATTCTGAGCTGCGCAACCCGGGTCGGGCCGGGTGGATTTGATTGGGGTACCGAGCTTAAGTTGTTTTTGGTGGGGGATCAATGGTCAGCCCGCTTCGGCCCAGTCATCGCCATTTCCACGCCATCACTAATACTAGTATTATGTTCATATTTACATTCTCCCGAGTCCCGAGATCGAGAACGAAACTTAAAGAATTCTATGCATGCAAAAAAAAAAAAAAAAAAACATTCCCTTGCGGCTTGGCCCCACTCTTCCGCGCGTGAATGTTATTAACACTTCTCATGGATGATTATATAATTTTGGAATTGTTTGCTCGCAAAGTCCGATCTTACCCAAAAACCAAAAACTTGAAAAATATTCTTCTTATCCTTAATACAAGATATATTAACTAATTTGATTAGATCAAAAAGTTAGGTAAGTTAATTAATTATAAGAAATATCAAATATTTTTCCTAAAACACTATAATTATCTTTCTTAATATCTTCATTATGATTGGGGGAGTATCAATATGGATATTTAGAGAAAAACTGATAAATATGAAAAATGAGTTTTATATTTAGAACAAAAATTAACTTAACAATTAGATCCTATATTAAGGATAGGAAGAGTAACAAATTTTTATTTTTCTTTTCCTGCCTGTTCTGTTTTCTCCTCTTTTTTTTTTGGTTTTTGCTTTCTCCTTTATATATGAGGAACCCGTAGCATTTGACTTAAAAATTGAAAAGGGAATGTGATGGGTTTTATTTAAAATCTAAACATAAGTCATTTTCAGCTACTTGCAAAATTAAGGTGTTAATCAAAACCAAACTTACAAACAGTTCTTCAATAATAATTTACAGAATAACGAAATACGATATGAATATGTGAGAAGAATTTTATCTCGATTTAAGTAAAACATGTTAATAAACGAAGTGATACCAAATAAGAAAATTATACTATATGGATAAGCTATGACTATGCAACGCAAGGTCGAGATGACCAAGAATGTGTGTGTGGATAAGGAACATTTTTGTTCCCTTTTTACCTAGATACAATTTTAAGTTATCATCATACTTACATTCCACTCAATCTAAATTTCTTGCTTTGTCAAGAAATATTATTCATTCTCAATTCCATGTTTATACACTGCTTCAAATTTTGAAAGGAAAAGGAATAAAGGCTGCGACCGTGTCGAAGGTTGCGTAGAGTTTGGCTGAAATGGAGGGTTGACTAGGAATACTTAAGAGAAAAAGGAATCGGGACTATTACAGAAATCAACTTGGGTAATAGAAACAACGTTAGTTGTCCAACAAACCATAATAACCTAAAAAGTTTTTTTTTTTTTTTAAAGTAATGTTGAGTGAGTAGCTAGCACCATCTGCGTCACTTTATCATCACATATATATATACTCCTCCGGTCCTTAATATAAGATCCATTTAATTAATTTGATTAGATTAAGGAAGTTAGGTAAGTTAGTTTATAAGAAATATGACATGTGTTTTCCTAAAATACCATAATCATCTTCTTAATACATTCTCTCTCTTCTATTTGACTATGGTTGAGGGAGTATCTATAGGGGTAATTTAGAAAAAATTGATAAATATGAGAAATGGTTCTTATATTTAGGACCAAAACCAACTCAATAATTGGGTCCTATATTAAGGACGGAGGAGTAGATATATATATATCATGTGACCAAATTTAACTCTACTCGAGTTTTTAATAAAAAGACTCATTTGATTTTTATTTTGTTTCAAAATATAAGACCCTAATCTATTTTGTTTTTATATTTATTTATTGTTTCTTAAAATAGTTCTTGTATAATGGTAGATCTAGCCAATATGCTTAATTAGCAAGAATATTTTACGAAAAACAACACTTACTTATTACAAATAACTAACTAACTAGTTTTGTTACTATACTCAAATTAGTTAATTACTCTTCCCGTCCTAAATATAAGACCCCTATACTAGTATGTATTAGGATATTATATTTAGAACTGGAAGAGTAGCTTTTATTTTGAAGCCTGGAGGTAGTATTATTCTTCAAAATTCTCAACCAACGGTGTTGGGTTAGTGCTGAATACATAGCAACTGAAACAATAACCATCTGAGATCTGCAGACTAAAATGAACATATCATGTGCATCCTCCTTCTATACATACTATCTCAGGTTTTTAATATAAAAATTTATACATACTAGATTTGGTTTTTAATATAAGAATTTGTTTGTTTTTTATTTTGATCCTAAATATAAGATCCTAATTCAATTATCTCTCATAATTATTTATTTTTTTCAAGATAGTCTTTATAATAATAATAATAATTCTATCCAATACACTTAATTAGTTAGGATATTTTAAAAATAAAATATTTATTTATTACAAATAACTAATTTAGTTAGTTTTTTTTAATTTACTTGAACTAGTCAAGTAATTCTTATATTAATAACTGAAAGTAGTATAAATTAGATCTTATGTTTCCAAAATTCAACCTTGATGCAAAAATTATCCATATTTTTGCATCTTTAATTACTTTCGGCTTACCAGCAAAGAGAATCTGAAGCCAATTTGCAAATTTTTAATTCGCCCGCCAATGGAGCTAAGAAGGGGTGTTGTATTTACACGCGAAGGGGCCTAATTGGGTCACTTGTCAGATTTTGAGTCTCTTTTGTGCTTGTTTACAAATTATAAGATCACATTTGACCAATAAATTGGATGAATTTAATGGGGAAATATAGATGGTCTTATAGAGGTGGCGAATTATTGATTATGCAAATCCGGCTTGCAAGATTATATATTATACGCAAACGGGAGTGTCCTCGTCCTTCCCACCCTCAGCCTAGCCTGCATAATTATGACTCATCACCATAAACATTTTTTTCAGAAGCCAGTTAAAAAGTTAAATTTGATTTTAAATATAAGATCTAAATTTATTTTATCTCTTATAATCATTATTTTTATGCTGATTTATTAACTTATAAATTGATATATAATCTAATATTATGTAATATATTTTGAAAAGTCATGTTATGTTTATTATAATTAATTAATTGATTGATTTGATTTTTTTAATCTATCTAAATTAATTAGGTGACTCTTACATTGAGGAAGCATATTTTTTTATTTAAGGGAAAACAGATGGCATAGATTATAATCATAACCACTGACCAATTGCAGCATCAGTCTTGGGTGTTAAGCTTACGCCTATCAAAATTTTGAGTGGAGCTAGATTTATATAGGAGAATTAGAACTCTTGACCATTTACTTTTTTCCTTTTTTTACCAGCAAACTCTTGACCATTACATAATCCGGACCTTACTCTTCATCGTTGTTGCTTGAGTGGCCTTGGGTGACATATTTGCTTTTTCTTAATTTATAAAAAGTTAATACAAATTGGGTCTTTTAAATTTGCCCTCATTTTGATTTTGGTCTTTCAAGTTTTTAAACTATAAGTTTTGGTCTTTTAAGGGATAAAATAATCCAAGTTTTTATTAGATTATAGCTATCATTACCAAAATAAGGGCAAATTTATAGGATCAAAGATTATATTAACCTTTTATAAAATTATAAAATAAGGAAGCTTCATTATTTAAGGGGAAAATGACAAATAAAGAAGTTGGAAAATGCAATATTCCAAATTAGGCACTTAAGAGTTGAAAATGACAAAGAAGGAAGTAATGTCTAATATGGTATTTTGTAAATATAGTTAAATGAATAAAATGTCTTTATATCATATTTTTTAAAAAAATGATCAAACTTGTTATTAGCAGTATATATCTTGTCATTTATTATTTAACACTTGTTATTATCAGTTCAAAACTTGTCACTCCTTCAGTCCTAAATATAAAACTCATTTTGTAGTGTATATTTAGGACAGGAGGGAGTAATAAACTTTTTAATATAAGGTCATTTTAGTTATTTAACTATATTTTCCAAATATCAAATTAGGCACTACCTCCTTCTCTGTCATTCTCAACTTTGAGATGTTTGAATTGGGAAATAATAACTTCAAGATTCTTTTGATGGAATTTTTCCTTATTTAAGTGTCACACATGAGTAGTAGCCACAGTCAAATTAAAAAAAAAAAAAACTTTATGGATTAGAATTGAGTGTTTAAGTGAAAATTAAATCATGATTTTAAAAATAATTTTACGGAATTTTTTTATTTTGATTTATGTGAAAGTATTTTTTAAAAATACTTTTTCATCATACAAAACACCTCCTGAACGGCCTGCGTCTCATAAGAGTGTCGCTTCAACCTAAATGGCCCAAACCCAATTTTTGAATTTTGCAGAATACTTCCTAGGCAGCTCCTATGCGGGGGTGAAAATTAAGTGGATTTCTACAGTATAATAGACGTTCGGCCCAATTAAGAAAACCGGGATCCATGGTTTGTTATTGGACTTGGGTGTTTAGGAGTTGTTGTTTAATATTATGCCCGTTTGCCCTTTTTTTTTTAAAAAAAAAAAATTTTATACAATTTTCTTGTGCAAAAAATTATACGATTAAACATAGGGAAATTGACGAAAAACTGATTCATAAATGTCAAAATCCACATATGGTCACCTGTATAAGAAAAATTCTAATTTAGATATTGGTGATCAAGCTGAGATTTGCAAAATTACTGAAATAACCATAGTGCTCTTTATTATTTTTTTAAAAAAGAAAAATCAAACATCCTCACCGGTGGGTTGTTAGCGAGACATCTAGTGTTGACAGTGGTCGTCAAAGTTTAGGTGGGCTGTTAGTCACCGGAGCTTCAGTTGTCAGCATGGTATGGAAAACCGGACCGGACCGGCCGGTTCGGACCGGAAACCGGCGAACCGGCCAGGAAACCGGTCCGGTTCATCGTGTGAACTGGGGTCACAGCGAACCGGTACGACCCGGAGTGAACCGGGGTGAACCGGGAAAAAACCGGTTAACCCGACGGGTTGCTGGGTCGCACCGGGTTGTTTTTAAAAATTGGCCTGGACACAAAACGACGTCGTTTTTCCTTGGGTTGAATTTTTTTTTTTGTCAAAAGTCGATTCTGACCGATGACGCCAGAGCCCCCCTTACCCTGTCGCTTCGCTGCTTGCTCTGTTTTTCAGTTTTCGTGATTTTCCCTCGCAAATTTCTTTCTCTCCTTCTCTCCCCGTAAAACCATTTTCTTGCCCTAGCTTCCCTCTTCTGTCTCCGGCTCGCCACTTCTGCTTGCATTTTCAGAGTTCAGAGTGGTGGTAACTAACTTCGCCGTGGCTCATTCATGACGGGTTCGGGTTGACAGGGACAGAGTGCGATCGCCGTTCAGAGCTCCACCAACGTTCAGAGCTCCAGTGCCACCGTTCTGGTTTGCGATTTCTTTTCAGATTGTGAATGCGGTTTTGATTTTTTCTGTTAGACTTTAGAGTGCGATTGTGATTACCGTTCAGTTGCTTCGATTATGATTACCTCTCGTGAGCTCCGTTTCTTTCTTTTTCTTTCTGCTTGGGCCTGATGATAAGTAAACGTAATGGGAGAATCAACCAATGTAATAGCATTAATGTATTATAGCTTTCATCTGGATGATATAATTTGATCAGTTGAAGAGATTACGATGCTTCTGTTATACTGATGGATTTTACGAAGCAAATTGTTTAGCTAATATACTGATGGATTTTACGGTCTCTGTGATCATGAGAATTTTTGTGTTTGTCCATTTTACGGTCTCTGAGTCGAATGAAAACAGTATTGAAGGAAGGTAATTGAAAAATTGGCTGTCGTGCAAAATGGAAAGAAACTGGTTGTACACTTATGGTTTGTGAATTGCTGAAAAGAAGGAAGTTTGTTAATCTGTAGTTATGGATGAAACACACGCTTCCCTCACGCAAACTAAAAGGAAAAGTGTTGTCCAATGGTCGCCTTCGTTAGTTGAAATGGTCCCACCTGGAAGTCCATGGATTAACAAAGTCAATTCTCTCCCATATGACTTTGTATTTAACTATTTATTAATGGTCCTTATATATATACTTGTATTGGCCGAAAATATAAACGTATGATATTTTCTAAGTATTTGACTTTGCTTTTATGGTATTATCTCACCCCGTGAGTTGTGGCTTTTTGAGACATACATTTCAGATTGGCTCTACAAATATAGGATCTTCACACATATCCCTTAAGTGCCATGGTTCTGATCCTTTTACTATTGTGGAAACCTTAATACTAAGTAGATTTTATAAGTACTTTTACCATTGTTTTTTAAATGGTGAAGCTTGTTTTAACTTTGGTGATGAATGTTTGTAAATTGGAGTGCAGCTCGTTTAAGATTTTGAATGATAGATTTTGAATGATGTAGATAGATTGGTATTATTAATTTGTTTTGGTTTTATGATTTTGCTCTGACTCTGTTTTAGTATTTTATTAATTTGTAGTTTTTGTTGGATTATTTGTGCCGAGATTATTGATCATGGATGATACAAATATTGAAGCAAATGAGAATCCTATCCCCGCATCTGGTTCTACCAATAATCCCACTACCACTGCACCCTCACATGGGCCTGGTAAAACCGATCCTGCATGGGCATATGTTTCTCTTAAGAAAGAGGGAAAAGTAAATGTTTTTACTTGTCTCTTTTGTGCATCAAGTTACAGAGGAGGTGGGATAAATAGAATGAAACAACATCTAGCTGGTGTTTCTGGTCAAGTTTCTTCTTGTAAGAAAGTTCCTCATGATATAAGTGCAAGAATGAAAGAATCTTTACTAGGAGGGGCAAAGAAAAAACCTGTGAATCATGCAGAAGAGGACATTGAAATTAGGGAAATTGATGAACCAATTGCTTCACCTCAATTTAGAAAAGGCAATGTTGAGAGTAGTGGTAACAAGAGGAAAGCTTTTGAGACTGGGAGGGTTGATAATTACTTTGCTCCTAGAACAACTTCTCTTTCCCAACCAAGCCTGAAGAGTGTATTAGCAACTAAAGAAGCACAATATAATGCCAAGATGGTTATTGCTCAGTGGGCTATTGTTAATTGCATTCCATTTAATGCATTTGATTGTCCTCTTTTTCAAAAAGCTGTTGATGCTATTGCTGCAATTGGGCCTGGGTTTAAGGCCCCTAATGCTTATGATTTTAGAATTAACTTGTTGAAAGATTGGAAAAAAGAATGTCAGCTGCTGATTGAAAGTCATCGTGCAAAATGGAAAGAAAATGGTTGTACACTTATGGCTGATGGTTGGACTGATGTCAGACAAAGAACTTTGATCAATTTCTTAGTCTATTCCATACATGGTATGGTATTTGTGAAATCAATTGATGCTTCAGATGTTGTTAAAGATGCGAAAACTTTATTCTCATTGTTTTGTGAAGTTATTGAATGGGTTGGTCCTGAAAATCTAGTCCATGTGGTAACTGATAATGCTGCTAACTATGTAGCATGTGGCAGATTGATTAAAGAGAAATATAAAACTATTTTTTGGTCACCTTGTGCAGCCCATTGTTTGAATCTTGTTTTAAAAGATATTGCTTCATTGCCTCATGTGTCAACACTTGCAACAAAGGCATCTAAAATTACTATATTTGCATATAATCATACAATTTTCTTGTCATGGCTAAGGAAAAGACCTGATTGGAAGGAAATTGTCCGTCCTGGTGCGACAAGGTTTGCAACTACATTCATTACCTTGCATAGCATATACTTGCATAAACATGACTTGCAAGCTTTGGTGATTGATAAGCATTTTGTGGATCACAAGTTAGCAAGAACCGAAGCTGGGAGAACTTTTAGTGCAACCGTATTGGATAATCGGTTCTGGAATGAATGTTACCAAGTTGTGAAGATTGTGTCTCCGCTTATGAGACTTTTGAGGATTGTTGATTCAGATGAAAAACCTTCATTACCTTATGTCTTTGAGGGGATGCAAAGGGCTAAAAATGGAATCAAGGACATCTTTCATAGGAATAAGGAGCTATACAAACCTTATACTAGAATTATTCAAGCTCGATGGGATAGGCATTTGAAGCAAGAACTTCATGCAGCAGCTTATATGTTGAATCCTGCGTTCTTGTATAATCCAAGCTTGATCAAAAAGAACAGATTGCAAAAACATTTGATTGATGTCTTTGAGTCATTCTCTAATGAAAATCTTGACTATTGCACGATGATGCAGCAAGTGTTTATTTATAAAGATCGTAAGGACTCTTTTGATAGATTTTCATGTGAAAAGGCAGCTCAAAAACTAGATCCTCGTAAGTATATTTAATGTCATGTTTAAAAATGCCTGTTGACACATTTAATATCATATATATGAATGTAACTAAATATCTTTTATTTTATTGTCCAGATCAATGGTGGTCATTCTATGGGAGTTCTATTCCGGAATTGCAACAAGTTGCAATCCGTATTCTTAGCCAAACGTCTACTTCTTCTGGTTGCGAAAGAAATTGGAGCTTATTTGAGCGAATTCACACCAAAAGAAGAAATAGATTGGAACATGAAAGGCTAAATGATCTAGTTTTTACAAACTACAATCTGAGATTGAAGGATAGGTAATACTAAAAGCTATGATTTATGAATGCTTTTATTAAGTGTAGAATTCATTGATGCTAATTTCCTTGCATTTTCTCATTAAAGGGATATCTTGAACAAGAAGAAGACAAGTTATGATCCTATTGATTATGAATCAATTGATAAAGTTGAATTTTGGGTGGTTGAAGATCCAACTCCTGAATTTGATAATCTAGATGTAATGAATCTTGAAAGACTTGCCACCAGTGAAGATATCGCAACTGCATCAACTTTGGGGAACGAGAGGCATGATAAAGGTTTATAATTTATCTCTTCCATTAAGATTATATTCTTTTTCTTATACAAAAAGTCTATAACTAATTTTTCACATGACCATTAATAATTTGATTATTGTCATCTATAGGTGATGAAGATATACATATTGTTGAGCCTCCATCTTTGAATGATGATGATATTGCTCCAAGTTGTTTTGCCGGTCCTTCGACAGCTTCACCACCTCCTCCTAGTGTCTCAATGCCCATAGATTTAAATGAAGTTAATGATGACTTTGGTGTTGATAATTATTAGTTGGTTTGGTGATCAAATGATTGTAGGTGAAAATATTTTGTTAATCATATATCTATTTTAGTAGTTTTCTAGGATGAATATTTAGCATTTTGATGACATGGGTGGTAGTATGACAATGTGATGTTAATTTCTCATGTAAAGAATATTGGAACTTGAAAATACATTGTAAATATATGATTATTTTGTTAGTAATTCAAGGTACTAAGTAGATATTGAATTGTTGGATGGTATGATAAGAATTTAAAATATTTTTAATTTTTTTAATTTCTCACCGGTCTGACTCCCGGGTTGACTCCGAGCTAACCCACTAACCCTTGACCCACTGCCTTGACCGGTTCAGTTACCGGTCCGGTTTTCAGTACCTTGGTTGTCAGAACTATTTTTTTAGGAATTATTTTAAGTCTACTAATATGATTAACGAGTTCTTTAACATTATTAACAAGTTCAGCATAGCAGTTAATAACAAGCTTTTCCAGAAATTTAAAAAGTAACATTTTTATAACTTTAGCAATACAGTTAACAAGTCTTGTAACGATAGTAACAACTCTCATAGTGTCATTAACAAAATTTTCCTATGAAGGTCAATATTTTTAATATTCATTCTCAATAAAGCCCGTATAACAAAAATTTTATATTTATTAGGCTGTCACTATAGTTAAGAGAGTTGTTAATATCATTATATGACTTGTTATTAGAGTTGTTTATGACATTATGATAATTGTTAATATTGTTACATAACTAGCCATCAGAGCTTCAGTGACCTAAACTCCAATAGCCGCCACAAGCATCAGAGCTCCGGCGACCAGAGGGTGTTTGATATTTTTTTTCCTTTTAAAAAAATAGAAAGTAATATGGTCATTTTAGTAAATTTACAAATTCTAATTTAGTCACTTATAAGTTATACCTAAACTAAAACTTTACTCATCTAGGTTACTATTTAAATTTTATTATTTAACTATAATTTTTTCTGTCTTTCTTCCTTAAACATATAGATGCAGCATGCAGACAGACATAGATGGGACCTCATCCAATAGAGTGACTGGCACTATTACTGGGGGCAATTTTCTGTTGGACCCGTCCTGTATTTAAACTTTACTCTCATCTCTATTTCCAGCTCCCCTTTCACTTCTACGCTACTCTTCAAAAGCACTTTGATGGGACCAAACAGAGCCTTACTCTTGCTTTCCTTTCGCCAGATTTAGGTCTCCGATAGGCGATGCCCGGAGTCTAAGTCTAACCGAGCTCTTGCTAGTGCTCTTTTCTGGGTGTCAGAAACAAGTGGGCCCAGAAAGGTAGGACAGAGGATTAACATTCAGAGTCAAAAGTACTGATAAAGCTGAAAAATGATTTCAACTCGTACTATATAAAATATAAAAAGCCTTTCATTTGTTTGAGCAGTCAATTCAAAAGGCATGTAATTTCCCATGCATGCATAGCAGTTGACAACATTAAAAGTTTCTTCACCTCTCCTCCATCTCCAACTTAATTTTGCACCTTTTTTTCTTATCAAAATTAATAAGCTCTTGAGTTTCCCAGCCGACGAATCTCTTCAATCCAAACATTCTTCGAATACTTCCTACTTTGGGTTTCATAAGTTGATTTAATTAAGATCCAAATAATATATAGCACTCCTTCAGTCCTATTTATAATCCTAATCCACTTTCAGCCTGTTTCAAGCCAATCAACAAAAATATTAAACTTTACTAATTCTTATTTAAAATTTAACTACTTTTCAATTTTATGTTTATTTAGGGTGTGTTTGGATGAAACCAAACCGTGGTTTGGAAAAGTGATTTTGGAAAATAGATTCTGTAAAGAATAGATTTTGTAAAAAAGTGATTTTGAGAAGTGAGAGCGTTTGGATAGTTGTTATCAGAAGCACTTTTATATATACAAATTACTAAAAAAAAGACATAAGTTAATATGATAATTACAGAAAAATAGATTTTATGATATATTTTAATTTGAAGGAATAAAATTGTCAATAATATGTTTTTTACCAACATAATTAATAATACATAAGATAATATAATTAATAAATAATTAATGTGTATATATATTTATAAAATATAAGATTAAATATGTTTATAAAAAAATATGTTTATAAAAAAATAATAAGATACATATCATATAGGCCCTCACACTCTCTTTTTTTTCTCCAAAAGCAAAAAATTTTTGCTTTTTCCAAAACCATGGTTTTGACCCAAAACCATGGTTTTGGTTTTTGGAGGGGTTGTTTGGGTGATTTATTCCCCAAACCATGGTTTGGGGTGTCATCCAAACACACCCTTAATATATATTATACCTTATGCAAACAAAATCAACACATTAATAAATAAGGAGTAAAATTGCACATTCATAAAATTTTTTTTATTAATACCTTATAAATAGGATTAAAAAGTATTTTCTTTTTATTCAATAAATAAGACCAGAGGAGCATCCGTGTGTTTCCTAACAGGTTGTTTCCAACAATTCCATTTTCTGGGGACTGAGGAGGGAGGGGACCGATATTAACTCACCGTTCAAATAAACAAACATTACTGGAAAAGATTAATGCAAACTAAAGTTGACGAGAGAAAGATCGTACAACATAACCTAACTGTTCATATGCATTTAATAAGTGTATAGAGCTGTGGAATAGGAGTACGAATTTATGATTATGACTTAACGTCAACAAGTTTTTGTTTCTTTAAACGCACGCCTCTTCATCCCTCCTTCCTCTGCCGCATGTTAGTAGGTCCCATCCACTATACATGAGAAAGATACTCTTCCTCAACACCCACCACCACGTGCCCATCACCGACTTCTTCTTCTTCTTCCTCCTCCTCCTCCTCTTCTCTCTCTCTCTCTCTATATGTATATATGTATAATACTGTCCACTAGTCATCAATCAAGCTTTCTTTATTTTTCCTGAATCATATTACAGTATTCGCAATATCTAATCAAAGTTTGGTGACATAGAAAAGAAAAATGTACAGTTGGAGTTTTTCGAGCACTTTGCCCCAGCCCTCCCGAGTATTTAATATTATACTATATATATATGTACATGTACAGCCTAAACCACCATACAATCATCTCATCATTATGGCAATCTAATCCAACTAAAGCACAGATATTTTATGTTAACTATATTACCCCACACATACACTTTAATCTGACGTTTACTCTAAGTAATTTACAGTTCGTCTCAGTTTGCACCCTGGCTACACACTTGCTTCAACGCTAAAGCCGAACCACTTACTAATATATGTACTTGTATTTATACTACTTTTCTATACCAAAAGCCAACTAAAACCAAGAGAGATCATGAGCTATATATATATATATATATATAGCTGGCTGGTTAGCTCCCCTATATATCCATAGATTAATTTCATTCATCGCTGTCGAGGAGATGGAGAAGAGATTTGGGGCCGTCAGAGATCATGGATTCTGAAGTTGCCCAGAGCCTAGCAGCTTCGGTTGAACTGGATCCTAGTTTTGACATGGAAGCTTCGTTGCAGTCAGCAAAGTACTTGCCGGACACATTTAACAGCCTCGGATGCGTCGCCAAGTAACATGTCGTTGCTGCAGCCTACATTTGATTTGACACGACCCTCAGTCTCATATCATATGATATGATAAACAATATTAATGCCTGTACTGCGTTTTGTCATTTTCTACGGCTTATATATATATATATTTATATATATCTAACTTGGACGGACTATAGGATTACAGATTTGAAGTGTTACCTGGGGAATGGTTTTCAAGAATTTCGAAGTCAGCAAGAACGCTATATCTGCAGTATACAAAAAACTTCCAATGAACCATGGACACAGATTTTGAAATAATAGCAAATAAAAGGATCGGATGTAATCAATAAGTACTGTAATAAACCTGTAAGTAAGCCTTCACGTTCCCTGGTGAGCCTGGTCCTGACAATCCCCGGATGCACGCAATTCACTGTCACGTTGACTCCCATTTGCTGCACAAGATGAGAGATGTCATAAGATCAGATGTAATGATCAAATAATTAGTAAGTAACCAGACGGAGGAAGATGAGCAGGAAAAAATAACAAGAAGAGACCCTTTTTTTAATATAATAATATCAATCAATAATTGAGGGTTGATTTATTAATAGATAGATTGATGATGGACGGACCTGGAGTTTGAGAGCAAGATGCTTGGTGTGTAAGATGTTGGCGAGCTTAGACAGAGCATAAGCACGTGTGGCGTCGTAATGGCTGGCGGAAGACAAAGGCCAAATGAAACAAAGAGAAGTCAAACCCGATTTGTTTTTGTTTTTGTTTTTTTGTTTTGCCAATTATTAGTCTTCCACAAACTAACTACTGACTAGTCTTGTTCTGCGAGCACTTAATTGTGATTAGTTAATTACCTGCTGTCCAGGGTTATAAGAGCTAGATATCGGATAATGTCGCCGGAAAACCAGCCATGTACGTTGGAAGACACGTTCACGATCCGCCCTTGGATCCCCGTCTTCTCCGCCGTTTCCAACATCGTCTTCAACAACAAGTCCGTCAACAGAAAATGACCTGTGCCCACCGCCACCATGAATGAATAATACAACATACGTTTAATTACATTATTTGACAGATATGTAGTTTTTGATTTAATTACCTAGATAATTAGTGGCGAAGGTCATCTCAAATCCATCTTCGGAGATTGCGTGATGGTGCGCGAACTTTCCGGCGTTGTTTCTAGGGCGAAGAAGAAAATGGAGTATACAGTGAATAATAAATAAAAAGGAAGAAGGAAGGGAAAAAAGAAGAGATATATAGAGAGAGTGGTATTACATAAGAAGGTTGAGAGGTAAATGGAGGGAATGGAAGTGAGAAACGAAGGAGCGAACAGAGCTGAGAGAACTAAGATCGAGAGGCATCACAATGATGTCTGCGTTCGGAGACTCGGAGAGGATGCGAGCTTTGGTGTCCTCGGCGGCTTTCAGAGTTCGAGCCGGCAGAATTAATCTCACTCCTCGCTTCGCCAGAACCCTCGCCGTTTCAGCTCCGATTCCCGACGTCGCGCCTGCGTTAAAATCAATACTCATCAGTATTTGACGCAAAGAAAGGAGAACGAACGATAGAGAGAGAGGTTTTAGGAAAGTACCGGTAATGATGGCGGTGAGAGAGGAACAATGGGCGGAGGTGCTTTCTGTGACTTGTTCGGCGGTGGAGCTGGAGCCGAACCCGGAAGGTCCCGGCGAGCCGAATAGGTACTTGAGAGTGTCCACCATAGCCGATTCCGAGTGGGAGAAGCAAGAGAGAGATGAATTGAAGTGGTGTATAAGGATAGATGCACCTAACTGTGTGCATTAAATAAGTGTTAAAAAAGTTGAGAGTCGAGCGATTTGACCTTGTCCAGCTCTCTAATTATAGGATAACACTTGACTTCATTTTATTCAGATCCGATTCCGATGCGCTGTTTCTTTTTCAGTTATTAATTTAATTTAATTAATAATTAATCTCTCATGAAAGCCACTTTCATGGCTTTTTTCCCAGCTCTCTCTCGTTTTCCACCTCTCCTGAGTTGCTAATTAGCCCCATTATTATACTTTCTTCTCCTCCAAACACTACTCAAATATACGCATTTGTGTCACCCTCTCCTTCAAATAATACAAAAAGCTCTTCAACTTCTTCTTTGTGCTTCATCCCCAACCCACTTTCAGGTTCCAATTATATTCTCTCTCTTCTTCTTCTTCTCTATTTTATTGTAATTCTCCATTACACTTTTGATTTTATATCGTTTGAAGCCCCACGATTGATTAGAAAGAATCCCTGTAAAAACCCATGGATTGTTTACCTGAATCTCACGTGTGTTGGGTTGAGTTTCTTTTTCATTTTTTTTACTGTTTAATCTGTTTTGACCAGCTCTTAATCACTTAATCAAACATCTATTATCGGTCAATGCTCGATTCTCGTGTTCATCGGAATCCACTTCACTTCGTTCTTTTCCCTTCGTTCTCTCTCTTCACATTTATGACTTTCTTTTTCTCATTCATTTCTTTAATCCACCTCTACCTTCCCTCACTTAATTGAACTCCTTTTATAACTAAATATAAGATGTAGTCAAAATATTTGTTTTGATCAATCTTCTTTATCTCTTCCATTTCCTATTTTTTCTCCAAATTGTTCTCATTCATTTCACTTTTTTGGTTCCTCTCACATGTAATGTTATCTCATTTTAGGATATATTTTAAAAAGAGTGATACACATTATTTTCCACAATAATAATATATAACAAATTTAATCATTTTCTTAATGTTTTTGAACTATATAATTAATTAGTACTTCTTTCTAGTTCATAATTATAAGATAGAGAGAAAGTGTATAACTCACATCATTAAAATTATTGTATAATATACAAATTTATCCCAATTTATTGTTTGGTAAGCTGTGATTTTTTTTAAAAGAAAGTATACATATTAAATAAGAGTGAAATTGAAAAATATTAAATTTTAAGATAGAATTCATAACTTTTAGGGAAAATTGGTAAAAAAATCCTAGTTAAAATTTAATTGGCTAAAAGGACCTGAATTTGAGCAAGTGCAACTATGATCTGTGAATACAACATATCTTCCGTTGTGTGTAACATATCATCAATGATGTGCAACAATTATCAATATAGAAGTTATTTGCATATAACGGAAGATATGTTGCATACAGTAGAAGATATGTTGTATTCACGGATTACACTTGCACATACTCAAATTCAGGTCTTTTTGGACAATTAAATTTTCAAACAGGGATTTTTTACCAATTTTTTTCCTAACTTTTAAGGGTTTTTTAATTTCAATAAAATATGTTAAATGTTTCTTATAAATAAAATTTGAATAGTAAATATGATATTTAGCAAGGAAGGACTAATTAATGTTTATATTTGGAAACATCATATGACAATTATCTAAATATCCCATTCCCACCCAAAAATTAAGTGTTGAATTTCATCAAGAAGATTATCTTAGTAAGATCTGGTAAGTTTAGGGTGCTCATCAAGATGATGAGCACTAAAACTGATTTCTTACCATCCGGTGTTAAATATAAGATTTAGTGCAATTTATATTATAAATTAAATATTATATTTAGTAGTGTTAGGAGGCAGTATAACAACAACCAACAACTATATTATTTTATAGTAACTTTTTCCAAATCAAGAATCAGAAACTTTTACCCGTCAAAAAATTAAATTCTTCATGACTTTTACCTAAATGATATGGTACTCCATTTATTACACTTGAGTATAATTAAGGAGTACAAGATAATGAGGGGTATTTTAAGTTTATATATAATATACGCATATAACCTCTCCCAGTAGCTAAAAGTTGCTTTCTCTTTATTTTTTATTTTTTGTCTCCTGCTTGTAAACACAAACCCATCTGATAAATATATATATATATTTATATATATATAAAGCCATTTTTATAGCAATCCCAATCATCAATCATATCCTGAGCTTTGCTTTGGGTTGATTAGTTTGCCAACTTTATTTGACCAGTTTGGAATCAAGAGGACGATTAAATTCCATGAATCAATCAAGTTGCTTAAAAAATTGCATATATGGGGAATGGGATATGCCATTTACTTGCCACTCACTCATTCTATATAGGGTGGCTATATGTGTATCCTATAGTTTAAAGACTTCAACATTTGGTTTGTATTAATTATAATTTGTGATTGGGAGTGTGGCGTCATTTGAATGCTACAATTCTCCAATGATTGCCTCTCTTTTTCTTTTGTTTTTGGGTCGAATCTTAGAGGACCCGCATCCTTAGATTTAGAGCTTAAAGCTTTTCCAGTTTCTTAAATGACTCATTAAATATCATTCAGTGATACTAATCATCCTTCCACCTCTTCTTCCCTTGTGATTTGTTTATCATATTCTTCCTCGTTTCATGATTCATCTGACAATTGTTGATTGGTAAGACGGGGTTGGACGCATCTATCTCCACCAGAAAATGGACAAAAGAAAAGAGAAAGAAAAAGCAAGGGTATGAGTAATTGAAATTAAAAAACATATATAAAGGAGAGGAGCCTAACAATCGCATTAAATAATTAAAAGAATCCAAATTTGTTTCCAAAGATTTCAATTTCATCCATGTCATATGCGGTAGTGTTTTGCAGAGCAAAAAAAAGTGAGAGAGCCTAGATACTGCCCCAACGGGGATCACGCCATTTTTCTACTGTACTGCACAAGATCATGATAGAGACCCACCATTACCACTCTAGCTTTAGAACCTAAGCTTAAGTATGTGTGTGCCTATATATATATTCACTTAAATAGTGCCTTCCTAGTTCCTTCGATGATCTTTTCACTGAAGCACCAGAAACAGAAATACTTTCCGCCTTATTATAGATTTGTTTTCTTTAATATGAAACAACTTTCTGAATTCTGAACATTCATTTAATTTTTTTTGGGAAGTGGTGTTAAAGACAGCACTTGGTCTGGCTGTAGTGTGTTAAGCCAGAGACTTAAAAATGGAAGGGGACGATATAGTGTTGTGAAAACTACGTAGCACTCGGTGTTTAGTGATTCTGTGAAAGTTACAAGTATGATCACTAAGGGACCAAAACAGTGCCCATCCTTACCAAAACACAAGAGACGTAGCTTGGTCTATTTTGCATCTTTAATCATCCACAACCTTATTATAAGGAGCTAAGGAATTAGGACAGAGCTTCAATTATATTGCATAGTAGCTAGCATGAGCGTAATCAAAACAAGACAAGCAGAATAGAATGTTTGGTCAGTTTCAATTGCCAATATTGTCAATTTCTGAGGAAATCAATGAACAGTCAATATCGCGATCTTGAGGCCATCCAAACTCCTCCAAGAAAGCAAGCACCACTCCATTTGACCACCCAAAACCAGTCTGCATTGCATCCAAATCCCAATCAAACATTTGAAATAGTTCTCTTAAACCCAAAGCAAAATGTAAGATTTTGAGTTTTCTGTATATATATGGATACACATACCTGGGGCACATATAGTCCACCGCCTCCAAACTCTCCACAATGCTCCACATTATATTTTTCATGCATCACACCTGTTTTCTTGTAGGCCATATAGTTGGTTGTGATCCATCTCCTTGCAATTTCTTCCCCCAGTGAAGCTGCTTCTTTCAACCCAGATTTCACCAGACCTTCAACTATCATATGTTGAATTTGGGGCCAGCCATTTGGGAAGTCCCTGTATTAACAAAGTCTCAAGATTCATAACCTTAACATGCGAGAACCTTAATCTTTGATGCTGTCCTAAGTTCTAACTAACTTACCATTGTTGTCCTGAATTTGTCAAAGATGTCGCAACCCCAGCAGCACGAACCAGCCCACAAGTTTTGAGACTTTCAACAACGCTACCCACGATCGAAGAATCTTAAGAAATATATTTTTAAACAAAGGGTAAGCCAATGTTCTTGCAATTCTATGACCTTATTTTGTGATTCCCTTCCCAGAAAGTTACTATCCTTTGCCTTCATCTTCTCACATTTTTTCAAACATCTCATTTTAGTAAAATACCAGAACGAATATATAGACAACATAAGTTACCCCATCTCGCCATAAGTTCAATTAAAGCAATCATCATCTTTGGTTGAATCTATTCTCTTTTATTGTCCTGTCCCTTCATATCTTTTCACTTTTGTATCCAACGTCTCATTTAACGCAACGGCAGAAAAAGCAAAGGTTGAAACCATCTTCAACATCAAGACCTCTTGTTTTTATGATATGCTAATCTAAAAGACTGAAACTGTTCTTCACTCATTTGCGGACTCAAATGTCCATTCTGTGTTTGTTAAAATTTGGCATGCAAGGTCAGTAACCAAAATGACATTCTATAAAAAATGATATGATGGGGATAACAATGTCGAGTCAAGTCTTAAAGCCGTTCTTAATTTATCTCAACCATACAATGGAGAATATGTAGTACAAAATTCAGTCACATGAAATCAAATTTACCTGAGTAAAATGGTTCCATCCATAAAGGAGCAAAGTTGGAAGCAAATACATTGTGATTCTGCTGCTGATCTTCCCAGACTTGAACTCCCTAGAAGTACAAAAAATACAACTCAGAAGAATTACAGAGGGTAGAGAAATCACACAATGACAGATGTGTCCATGCAAAATCAGATTGACGAAATACCTGGCATGTACTATTTGTGAGCCAGTAATCAAGCCATTGTTTCATGTTTGCGTTCCAGAAAACAGAGTTGAGTGCCTTCTTTCTACTATCAGAAAGTTGCAG